AGAAAAGTCTTATTCCACCTTCTTTGTAATAAGAAAGGTGGAATAAGGTACAATTACATCTGTAATTGGGATCCCAGCCATTCTTTCTTTCTTTCTTTTTTTTTTTTTAAGATTTTATTTATTTATTTGAGAGACAGAGATTACATCTCTGGAATAAGGTACAATTACATCTGTAATCCCAGATGTAATTTAGAACTGTGTTGTTTAATCTCAGAGTATTTGGGGGTTTTCCAACTATCTTCCTATTATGGATTTCTAGATTAATACTATTGTGTTTGCAAGCATATTTTGTATGATTTTTTTTCTTTAAATTTTTTAAGCTGTGTTTTATGTCCCAGAATATGGTCTATTTTGGTGAGTTTCATGTGAACTTGAGAAGAATGTATATTCTGCTGTGTTTGAATGAAGTGTTGCATGGATTTCAATTATATCCCCTTGTTTAATGGTGCTATTTAATTCAACTATGTTTGTCCTAATTTTCTTCTTGCTGGAGCTCTTAATTACTGATGGAGGTGTTAAAGTCTCCAGCTATGAGTGGATTCATCTATTTCTCCTTCAATTATTTTTTTAAGATTTTTTATTTTATTTTGTTTTTTAAAAAAAGATTTGACACAGAGAGATAGCACAAGCAGAGGGAGCAGCAGGCAGAAGGAGAGGGAGAAGCAGGCTCCCCGCTGAGCAGGGATTCCTGCCTCGCCTCGGGGACTTGATCCCAGGACCCTGTGATCAGGACCTGAGCCAAAGGCAGATGCTTAACCGACTAAGCCACCCAGGTGTCCCTCTCTTTCAACGTTTTATTTCACCGAACTCTCTTCCTGTTTACATAGCTTCTGAAAATAAGTGCAACTTAATTCTTATCTTTGTTTCTCTGTAATTAAGGTTTTCTCCCCTCTAGCTTCTTTCAAGATTTTCTGGTTTTTTTTTTTTTCAAGTTTGAAAATGTATTTCAAGGTGCACATTTTTAGGTGGTTTTTTTTGTTTGTTTTTGTTTTTTGATCTCCGAGCTTCTAGATCTGTAGTTCGGTGTCTATTATTAATTTGGGGAAAATCTCATCCATTATTGCCTTATTTGCTCCTTCTTCATGTATTCTCATTATGTGTATATCTTCTGTAATTATCCCAAAGTTCTTGGATTTCTGTTCTTTATTCTTTTTATTTCAGCTTCAAGGACCCTATTGACACATTCTTTAGCTCACTGATTCCTCATACATTTCCACTGTATTGAAGAGCCCCCCAAAGGAATTCATTTATGTTCTGTTCTTTTAGTTTTTTTTATTTCTTGTGTTTTCCTTTTGATTCTTAGAGTTTCTATCTCTTCTTCTTAATATATATTACTCATATATTCTTGCATTTTATCCACTATTTCCATAGATCACAAGCATATTAATCATGGTTACTTTACATTTATGGTCTGATAATTGTAACATATTGCTACATCTGAATCAAGTTCTTTTGCTTGTCCTATTTCCTGAAAATGTATTTTTTAAATCAGTATGCCTTTTAACTTTTTGTTGAATGCTGGATGTGATGGACTGTGAAAAAGGAACTGAGGTAAATAGGCCTTTAGTGTGAGGGTTCATGTTTATCTGAGTAGGGTTTAGGCTGTGTTTATGATCTGTCATGGCTGTCAGAGGCTAAAATATTCTCAGGTATCCTTGCTTTTGTCACCCATGTTGTCTTTAGGGTTTATGGAGGCTTCTTAGAGAAGTTCTGAAATGTATAGTTCTTTTGGTTTATTCCAAACAGGAGTCTTCCTGATGTAGTGGAATGTTGTGGGTAGAGAGGAAGTGTTCTGTATCCTATGATCTGGTCTTAGTATTTTAATGAGCATGTGTCCTTGGACTGCGACCTTCTTTGTTATAATAGGAAAGATATTTGGTCTTTATCCATGGTTCTTAGCCAAGACTTCCTAAAGCCCTTGGACTTTCTGAGTGATAAGGGTGACAGAAGCATCTTATGTTCTAATGAGGTAATCGTTTGCTGACCCCTAGATAGCTTCAGGATGGGAGTTAGTCACCAGGAAGACCAGACTTGGATTGGAGGCTTAGAACTTTTAGACCAGCCCCCAACCTCTGGGGAGCGGGGAGGAAGGAGTTGGAGATGGAGTTATTTGCCAACTGCCAATGATTTAGTCATTCATGCCTATGTAAGGAAACTCCATAAAACCCCCTAAACCTCAGGATTCAGGGGAATTCTGACACCAATGTGCTGGAAGTGTGTTGTATCTGGAGAAGGCATGGAGGTTCCCTTACCTCTGCCATGTACTTTGCCCTGTATGCCCCTTCCATTTGGCTGTTTCTGACTTGTATCCTTTATGATAAATCAATAATAATAGCATTTTATTAGTCCTAAAGTGTTTCTGTCAAATTAACAAACACGATCCAGGGAACCTTTGAATTTGTAGTTGGCCATGCAGAAATGTGTGTAGCCAGCCGCCTCTCCCCCATTTGTAGCTGACATCCAATGTGGGGGCAGTTTTGTGGGACTGAGCCCTTAAACTGTGGAATATGATGTTAACTGTATTTTGTGTTAGAATTAAATAGAATTGTTGGGATGCCTGGGTGGCATTGGTTGGTTAAGCATCTGCCTTCAGCTCAGGTCATGATCCCAGGGTCCTGGGATCAAGCCCCGCATCCGGCTCCCTGCTCAGCAGGGAGCCTGCTTCTCCCTCTACCTGCCACTCCCTCTGCTTGTGCTTTCTCTCTCTCTCTCTGACAAATAAATAAAATCTTAAAAAAAAAAGAAATAGAATTTTAGGCCACCCTTACCCTTAGAGTTGGAGTGTTGGAGAACTGGTGTTTGGGGAACACACCATGTATTTGCTCTCAGGAGTTAGAGAAAAGAACAAAAACCTCTCAACTTCACATATATTTCTAAATGCCCCCTCCCCTCAACTTAGGTCAGGTAGGAAAGCTAAAGGGAACTCAGGTTGGCTGTTTCATCCCCCCACCTCCTCACCCCTGCTGTGTCAGGTAGGTTCTGGTAAAATCCCAGTCAGGCTCTTGAAAAGCAGATTATATTAAGGACAGGCCCTGTTAAAGAGAATGATATGGGCATATGTCAAAACAGCTATATTTCTGTCTCTCTTTCTAATTCTGGAGACAGCAGTTTGCCCTGTGATTAATGCTTTCATAGTTCTGTGGTGTTGATTTTAAGTTGCTTTTTTTTTTTTTTAAGATTTTATTTATTTCACAGAGAGAGATAACAAGAGCAGGAACACAAGCAGGGGGAGTGGGAGAGGAAGAAGCCGGCTTCCTGTGGAGCAGGGAGCCCGATGTGGGGCTCGATCCCAGGACTCTGGGATCACGACCCGAGCCGAAGGCAGCCGCTTAACGACTGAGCCACCCAGGCGCCCTGATTTTAAGTTTGTTAGCTTTTTTTCCAGTGAGGATAGAAATGTCACTTCTAAGTTCCTTACATGCCAGATGACAAACCAGAGGTCTCTATTTTTTAATGTTTGTTGGCTGACAGTTTTAAAAGCCTCATTCCTCCTTCTCCTTGTGCCCTGCATCTGAACAAGGTAACAAGAAAGCCTGCCTGCTCACTGCTTTGGCACCGGGAAGAGATTCAATCCTGGGAAGCCTCTGCCCTTGTGCCCAAACTCTCACTCTAGACAACCCTTGAACTTCAAGAAAGAACCTAGGCCAGGCTCCTTTCCTTGCTCTTTCTTTTCTTTTTCTTTGTTTAAAGATTTTATTTATTTATTAATTGGGGGGGTAGAGGGAGAGGGAGAGTCTTAAGCAAACTCTGTGTTGAGCGCAGAGCCCCACATGGGGCTCGATCTCATGACTCTGACATCAGGACCTGAGCTAAAACCAAAAGTCAGTTGCTTAACTGAAGTGCCACCCAGGTGCCCCCTTTCCTTGCTCTTTCAAGGCATTTCCCACCTGCTTGGGAGGCATGCCCTCCCTGGACACTTACATTATCAAAGTAATTAACCTTTTCATTTGTTCCCGGAAGGGATATGTTGTCAACCAAACCTAGAGTGGGGGCCCACCTGACTCTACGGGTGACCATAACAGTTATAGAAAGGGTAACGTGGCATATATATTGTAATACACTTTGCTTAATTATTTATTAATAAATATTCCTGATCTTTACATATCAGTACATGCCACCCTTTGTTTTTTAAAAAAAAGTAGGTATGATGATGAGTTTATGCAGGCAAGTCTTTCTAAATAGACAGTTGGATTTTTTAAAAATTTTTTTTAAAGATTTTATTTATTTATTTGGCAGAGAGATACAGAGAGAGAGCAAGTAGGCAGAGAGGCAGGCAGAGGGAGAGGGAAAAGCAGGTCCCCCATGGAACAGGGAGCCCGATGCGGGGCTCGATCCCAGGACCCTGGGACTACGACCCGAGCCGAAGGCAGCCGCCCAACCGACTGAGCCACCCAGGCGCCCCTAGACAGTTGGATTTCAACCAATTTTGCCACCAAAACCATGAGTGAAAACTCAGATTGCCAAATTACAGAACAAACATACAAATTATGTTCTTTTCAAACAGAATTTAAGATTTTTATCATCAAATATATTGAGGAAAGAATGTACAAAATGTTTTGCAGTGGGATCTGCTAATAATATAAACGTCCTTGAAGTCATCATCAAGATTCCTAACTGTGGGCAGTAGGGAGAGTCTCATGTTCTCCTCCCTGGCTCACTTTTGTCCTGCCCCATAGATGACCACTGTCCTGATGCTTTGTTTATCCTCGATACCTTTACCATCTATTATTTTTCATTAAGCAGAGTTCTTTCAGCTTTCTTCCTTCCGCTTTTGAACAGATAAGTATCAATGGAATTACACTGTAAGGTTTTCCAGTGATTTTTGCCTCCGTATGTTTCTCACATGCGAGCACCTGAGGCTTCTGGCCTGGTCTAGGACCGCGGGCTTCAAACCTCCCACCAAGCTGAGTGGCCCGAGGCTTCGAGATTCTTTAGATACCAATGAGTGGGGTTGGGGGGGGCGTGGTGGGCAGACGACTCCCTGCTGGAAGATGGTCAAAGATCAAAATGGACCCAGACTCATCATTACCCTCGGTGAGGTCACTTTTGTCCGTGTTTGTGAAGAAGGGTCACGGACCTCGGAGAGAACAGGTCGCAGCCCACTGCCCAAGCAAGGTCGGCTCAAAGACGTGACCTCCGGCCTGCTGTCACTCAGGCGGGCGGGGGCGGGGCCGTGCGAACTGTCCAATCAGGGGAGTCGCCGGAACCGTGCGTGCGGGCGACGCGCTGTGGACGGCGGGGACTGTGTGCCGTCGCTGCTGTCCGGCCGAAGCTCGCGTCCCCTCTCGCTGTCCTGAGAGCCTTCGGGAGCTTCCGCCACATCCTCTGTGGCCGTGACGTCCGCCGGCCGCGGCAGTCGTATGGTGGTTCGACCGGCTACCCCAGAAAGCGAGCAATGGTGAGTGTGGGGGGCCCGGGAGTCGGGAAAGGGGGGCGGTGGGACCGGCTGGAACCGGCCGTGGCGGGACCTGGCCTCCCCGCCGTGAACTCTGGGGTCTGCGGACCCGAGGCCGCCGGTGGCGCGGCACGCAGCGCGGGGCCGGGCCGGCTGCCGGGACCGCCGGCGTCCTGTCCCGTCCCTGCGCGGCCGCGTCTCCCTTAGATTGGGCGACGACCACGGGGAGGGTCATCAGGGGACGGTCATGCCTCGGTCTCCCGGGTTCGTGCGCGGGAGGTGCTGTGGTCTGTGGGGTCCCCATCCCTCTCTCCCTGGGGTACCCACCCGCTTTCCCCTCACTTTTCCAAACGTTTGGGGAGTAGGGTCTCAAAGCCGCGACCCTGTGCCCCCTGCCTAGCTCTTCATAGGACTGGCAATAAATGCCTCAATTTCCAGATCTTTCCCTGCATTCTGAAACGCCATCTTTCCTCTCCAGTTCATAACATCATTATTAACTGTTTGTTCTCCATGATGCTTTTCAAATTACGCAGTGTTTTATCATTTATCCACAGAGCCATGAATGGCTCTTTTTAAAGATTTATTTTTGTGGATATTTTACATGAGAAGAAAGCAGAGAATAATCACCTGGAACTGTTTTATGAAATCCTTGTGCCTCTCCCCCCAGGATCTTTCCTGGACACTGATGTCCTATCGGAAGTCCTTTGAGTGGAGGTTCTTCTTTAAAACTTTCCTGGGTGATCTGACCTGTCAGCATTGCCCCTCCTTGCATTTGTCACTCTGAAAAGATTTCACTTGAGACTTAGCTTGGGAGATAGTATTAAGTATTTCCAAAAAGGTGAATTTCAGAAAAAAAAATTGTTACTTTCTATTTGTTAAAATTTGTTCCCTTTTTTCTTCCAAGTGGGTATACTGATATTCTGAGGTATGTTCTTTCAGGTGATTTTAAATGGCATATCAGGGCCTAGACCTGTAACATTAAGTATTACAATACAGTTGTTTACAAATCAATTTCTTTTCTTGGAGATAATTGACATCTTCATTTTCTGATAGTAAAAGGTTGGTTTTCTTGTTGAACTAGTAAAATTCCTTAAAATTTTCTTTCCTCCTTTACACATAAACACTGGGTGTGTGAGATTTTGCGGGATTCTTGAACCACTGGGTTTGTCATTTAAATTAATCAGTGGTGGTCCAAAGCATTGTGACTGGGGAGCAGAGGCCTGAGGCCATTGACTCCCAAGCTAAGGCCAGTTTTGACCTGGCAAAGGCAAAGGGAGTTTTCTTAGGCCTAGATGTTTTTACATGTTTGGGTTTTGCATCCATGATATAGGTGCACTCAGAGTATAATTTGGGTATTGAGAAGCTCTGTGAAAGTCCAGAGTTCTGTCTCCTGGACAAAATGTTTATGAATTTGGGAGTTCATTTTGGGTCACAACCTTAAACTGAATCTGCCTGAGAGTTTCCTCACACGTAATATTGGAAACCTTGGGGAAGGGAGTTCCTGTAAGCTGCCAGGAGAGAGGGTGTGCGGGGCTCGCAGAGTTCATTCCTGCAGGTGCTCAAGTGTCCGTGCCCGCCCTGGTTCACCAGGGGCTGACCCACTGTGGAGGTGCTATCTCAACTGGGAACGTCTGGAGCCCGGCTTGGGAGTGTGTGTACTTTCTGAATATGGGTTTTCCTTCTTAACTCTGGGTAAGCAGGCTGCTTAGCTGAGCTGATTTGAATGTTTGCATTTCTTTCCTTGGCATTCTTTTTTATCTATTGAATATTCCAGTCCTTTCAGTCTAGTTTCCCTTAGTAGTTTGCAGTTTTATTTGCTGTCTGGGTAAGATTTTTTATTTCTTGGGCTTTGAAGATGTAAGTTGAGAAGAATGTGTGAGGCAAGAAAATCTTGAAACCAAATGGAATTTTTATTCCTTTTAGGCAACAATCACAAGCTGTGAGATGGGCATATTGAAGTTCTCAGGCACATTTTTCATTTTTATTATTATCTTTTTAATATAAAGATTTTATTTTTCTCTCTCTTTTTTTTTTAAAGATTTATTTATTTGAGAGAGTGAGAATGAGAGAGAGAGAGAGTACGTGAGAGGGGGGAGGGTTAGGGGGAGAAACAGGCTCCTCGCTGAGCAGGGAGCCTGATGCGGGACTCGATCCCGGGACTCCAGGATCATGACCTGAGCCCAAGGCAGTCGCTTAACCAACTGAGCCACCCAGGCGCCCCTAAAGATTTTATTTTTAGGAAATTTCTACACCCAATGTGGGACTTGAACTTACAACCCCGAGATCAAGAGGCGCATGCTCTACTGACTGAGCCTGCTGGGCGCCCCTCATTTTTCATATATAGAGCAGTTTTTGTATGTGCATGTCTCCAGGGAACTTTTGACATTTTAAAGACTATACTATTTTTTAAGGCAAATGAATTTCTGTTTTAATTGATGTCAGAAAAACTACCCAAGCTTATGTAAATCTTTAAAAGTCCTAGTAGGTTTCAGGGTTTAAATGCAGCCCCCTGGGGCGCCTGGGTGGCTCAGTCATTAAGCGTCTGCCTTCGGCTCAGGTCATGATCCCAAGATCCTGGGATCGAGTCCCGCATCGGGCTCCCTGCTCCGTAGGGAAGCCTGCTTCTCTCTCTCCCACTCCCCCTGCTTGTGTTCCCTCTCTTGCTGTCTGTCTCGCTGTCAAATAAATAAAATATTTAAAAATAAATAAATGCAGCCCCCTAATGCAGTGCAACATGCTCTTCATTCCTGACAATATTCTTAGTGTGAAATATAGTGGAGGGACAAACTATGATGTCCCTTGTCCTTTTAGTTAGTTGAAATTTTTCATTTTTTATGGGTTGCAGTTTTATACCCATTAGTGCTTAAGGAATTAAATCTTAGAATGATTTCCTATGTAGAAAAGTTTAAATTAATTTAAAATTAAATTTAAAGTAGCAAAAGTTGAAAATACTATTAAGCAGTAAAATATAGTGTATGTTAAGTTTGTTTCTTTTATATTAATTGCATGCTAAGGATTACAATTCATAAGAAACTAGTAGACTTCAGAAAAAATTTTAAGATATGAAATGACGAGAGTTCAGGTTTTTGTTTTAGAGCATTTTGTTTACAGAAAAACTGATCACAAAGTACAGAGTTCCCACCTGACCCCTTTGCATCCACAGTTTGCAATATTTTTTACATCTCCTATTACTGTGGTGTGTTTGTTACAATTGATGGACCAATAGTCATGCACCGAAGTCTACTGTTTATATGGACATAGACATTTAGTGTTATATACAATCAGTGGGTTTTGGCAAAGGTATAATGACATGTGTCCATCATTTCCTTTTTTTAAGATTGATTTATTTTGGAGAGAGAGTGCGTGCGTGTGCGGGGGGAGGTGGGGTGAAGGGGAGGGAGAGAGAGAATCTTCAGCAGACTCCGTGCTGAGCATGGAACACAATGCTGGGCTCCCTCCCGGGACCCTGAGATCACGACCTGAGCCGAAACTAAGAGTTGGATGCTTTACCAACTGTTCCGCCCAGGCACCCCTGTGTTCATCATTTTGACATCATATAGAATAGTCTCTCCTTTTCCTAAAAATATCTTGTGCTCCACCTGTTTAATAATCAACCTTCCCTCCAACACTCCTGTCTTTCACCAAAAGATCTTCTTACTGGCTAATAGTTTTGTCTCTTCCAGAATGTCATATACTTGAAAACAATGTATTTAGCCTTGTCAGAGTGTCTTCTTTTCCTTAATATACTTCAAAGTTTCCTCCTTGTCTTTTGTTGGCTTTATCCTTTTCTTTTTATCACTAAACAATGTTTATCAGATACATATACCACAGGTTGTTTATTCATTCTACTGTGGAAGGATATTTTGCTAAACTCTTGGCAGTTACGAATAAAACATCCATAAACATTCATTTGCATGTTTCTGTGTGAGTACAAAGTTTCGGTTTATTTGGGTAAATACCAAGTATGATCACTAGATCCTCTGGTAAGAGTATGTTTAGTTTTATAAGAAACTGTCTTCCAAAGTAGGCATACCTTTTTCCATTCCTACCAACAATGAATGAGGATTCCTGTAGGTTTACATCTTCACTAGTATTTGGTGTTCTGAATGTTTTGAATTGTATCCATTGTAATAAGTGTCTAGTGATATCCATTTATGTTCTATTTATAATTCCCTAATGACATTTGAAGTTAAACTTTTCATATGCTTATTTGCAATCTGTATTATCTTTCGTGATACATGTTCAGATCCTTTGCCCATTTTTAATTGGATTGTTTTAGTTTTAAGAATTCTTTGGACATTTTGGGTGTCCTTTATCAGATAACTGTTCTGCAAAGATTTTATTTATTTATTTGAGTTAGACTGTGAGAGAGAGAGCACAAGCAGGGGGAGCATTAGAGGAAGAGGGAGAAGCAGGCTCTCCACTGAGCAGGGAGCCCAATGCGGGGCTCGATCCCAGGACCCTGGATCATGACCTGAGCTGAAGGCAGATGCTTAACTGACTAAGCCACCCAGGTGCCCGGTGACTGTTCATTTTCTTACCACTCTCTTTTGTAGAACAGGGTTTTTATTTTAATGAAATGAAGCTTCCCATTTTTTTTTTCTTTCATGGATCTTGCTTTTGGTGTTGTATCTTAAAATTCATCAGTTAACCCAGGATCATGTCCTATGTTATATTTTAGGAGTTTTTAATTTTAGATTTACTATATATTTTTGGTTAAGTTTTGGGAGAGGTGTTAAGGTCAGTGTCTAAATTCATTTCTTGATTTTTTGGTTTATCTTTTGCTTGTGGATATCCACTCTTTCTAGAAAAGACTTTTTCTCAGGGTGCCTAGGTGGCTCAGTCAGTTAAGTGTTCAACTCTTAATTTTGGCTCAGGTCATGGTCTCAGGGTCATGGAATTGATCCCCACATCGGGCTCCACACTCAGCACAGAGCCTGCTTCAGATTATCTTTCTCCCTCTCTCTATGCCCCCACACCCCCGCTCATGCATGCGCTCTTCT